ACCAGGACCAGAGGGTTCTGGGTTGGAGTCCCGGGGGAACCAGGACCTTTCTGGGTGGAGTCTGCATGTTCTCCTGTGTCTGTGGGTTCTCTCCGGGTTCTCCGGCTTCCTCCCACCGTCCAAAAACCTGCATGTTAGGTTGTTGGACTCCAAACTGCCCTTAGTGTGAGTGTGTGTGGTTGTTGGTCCTTGTGTGTCTCTGTGTCCCTGTGATGGACTGGGGACCGTCCAGGGTGACCCCGCCTCTCCCCATTGGCTACTGGGATAGGCTCCGCCCCCATCACCCCATTAGGGAATAAGACGTTACCATAATGGATGGATGGATGATAATATTAACTGATTGACTGCCAGAGTTTTTTGAGCATTTTGACTGATTTTTCAAGAGCCACAGAATAGTTTGTGCTATGACTATGTAAACACCGAACACACCGAAAGAAAGAGTAGACTCTCTTCTTTCATCAGAAAAAAAAAATTTGTTTCTACCTTATTCCGTTCTTCCTCTACTTGCGTCTCACCGGCGCCATTTTTCGCATAGCGAACCATTGCGGTTTTCTTATTTGCCTAAAAGTGGCACTGCCCCCTAGAGGGTCAATTTGTTACTACATACTCTGCCTGATATTTACAGACAAGCTTTAGCAGATCGTCCCCCAAGTCACTCGCGTTGAAAAACATAAAAGACGTCTATAGACGTCTTTGGCAGTCAGCGGTTGGATTTGAATTGACGTCTATAGATGCCTTTGGCAGCCAATGAGTTAATATATATACATTTTTTTGGGCTTCATTCCTAAGGAAAAATCTAAAATTCTCTCGGTTCTTGGTCTCCATAAGAAGAAAATATCCTCTCAGCAGTGTGACACCAAGTTGGAGTCCTAGTTGGTTACGGGAATTCCTGCGTGTGTTTCACATGTTTTTGCCGTTTGTTTGTTGTTTTTCAGGTGGAACCTGAAGATGCTGCAGTGTGCCGGCTGTGGCCAGTGGTTCCACGAGGCCTGCACCCAGTGTTTAACCAAACCGTTGCTCTACGGAGACAGGTACCTCACAAGATTCCCACATGATCCTGGAGAAATATAGAGGAATTCGTCAGGCAGCCCAAGCATGACGATCAATGAACTAATGAACCCTCAATTTTAAAACAGTCGTGGCTTGACTGGGGATGTCCCGATCCAGCTTTTTGTCACCGATCCCAGCCTATTAGAGCATGTGTTAAAGTTTTAAGTTATTTGGCCTAATTACTTAGTCAGACTTTTGTTGAACAGGGATTTACTCTGATAAGAACTTAATGGTTAGGACACAGACCTGTGGGTTAGCAGATGCTAATGCTAATGCTAATGCTCGTGTGGGCATTTTTTAACTTTGCCACAGCCTTGTTTTGCCATGGTCTTGTTTACTTTATTCAGTACGTTTTGCCATAGTCTTGTTTTGATACTTTGCCACAGTTTTGTTCATCTTGCTTTGCTACTTTGTTCATAGTTTTGTCACAGCCCTATTTATTTATTCAATTAATTTTTTTATTCTATTTTTATTTATGTATTTATGTATTTATTTACTTACTTATTTCTTTATTTCTTTATTTCTTTATTTCTTTATTTATTTATTTATTTATTTATTCATTTATTTATTTATTTATTTTATAAGATTAGTATATTACAGCCTTAAATGTCAGACAGCTGGTTTAATAGGAATCTTTTGCCAGCCTTCATCTTTTTTCCCGGCGACCTTCAGGCCGATGAAAACACGGACACACACTGCGTTGTTGTGCGTTTCAGGGCCACTCGGAGACAGTTTGTTATTTTTGTGGGTGGAAAAAAAAAACATCCAGCTGCCCATTTGATTCCAGTCCAGGGTGATTTATGCTGTCAATTATGCGGAGAAAGGGAGAGGAGAGAGTGCTTAGCTCTTTTCCTTACACAGAAACGACGCATAAAAACAGAATCGGCTAAATTAAAGGTCTGGAAGGTGGAAAAACAGGTCAACAAATGAATATAATTCGAGTAAGAATGAGGCCAAAGACAGAAATGTTTGACTAGATAAATAAATGTATGTAGAAAGACCCCTTGACGTTAGCATTCCTGCTAAATAATCAGCTTTTTAGTGTGTTTGCATGAGTGATTTTCAGGGGCCGGGAACTCGATTTGCTTTGGGAAAACCGGCATCTTGTGCGAGTGGACAAAGCCAGAAGCTTTGCACCTTTTTAACTGACCGATTTAACCTTTTGGCCTCCCGAACGTCCAGATCTGTGGCCCTTTAGGCGGGAAACAGGAGGTTTTATTGGGATTCATTATCGTTTTCCATTCAGATGCTGCTTTTTACAAACTGGATTTGATCCAGAAGTGGAAGAGCTCATTGTCTTTAGATAGCAGAAGCCGGGCTGCTTGTTTATTTCCGGCCATTTTTGAATATTTTAACCCTATAATGACAAATTTATCATATTTGATTCATACGGTTTCTGAAGTCTTTTGGATCTGAGACTTTTTGCAACATTCAGTGGTAAAAGCTTTGCTCAGACCCCTGTTGTACACATTCAGATATACCTGATAACAGCCAGTAGAAGACTACACCAAAATATATTTTTGACTTATTACACGCTAATTTGATCAAAATAATTTCTGTTTTTTTTTCTTCATATGTTGTTGAGGGGCCAAAGAAAGACTTCAAACTAAAAAAATTGAATATTCTACCTATTTTTCTCGGATCAGGCTTTAAAGGGTTAAATGTGTTTTAATATTTCTCCATGTGTCTCTTTCAGGTTTTACCAGTTCCAGTGCTCAGTTTGTGCAAAGGGACCAGAGACCATCCAAAGACTGCCCATGAACTGGTGATTTTTTAAGATTTATTCCCTGATGCAGGACTAGAAAATCACACTTAGAAGACCAAAACTGACTTTTGTCTCATTCACACGTCGACTTTGGATCCTGACAGCCGTCTCGCACGTCTGCTAGATTTAGAGAAAACGTCATTGTGTTGAGAATAACTTTGTCTTGTGTTGTCTGAGCTGTATCCGCCTGCTTTAAAGGGGACATATTATGCAAAACCAACTTTTTAATAATTTGATTATGTACATTTGGGACTGTGGAGGGCCTATCAGCAGGCAAAGTGTGAATAAAAAAATGACTCAGTCATGTTTTTGTGGGCCGCCTCAGTCTGAATCCAGGAGATAAATCAGGAGGTTTCAGGAGTGGGTAGTTTCTGACGTCATTAGCTCTAGCTCATTATAATAATATTATTATTATAATATTAATATTATTATATATTATCTAGCTCATTATAATATTCCAGCCTTTCACCTGCATGTTGCCCCCCCCCCC